ATATGTTCTTTGACTGTGAAAAGCACCTCCACTGCCCCCACAGTGGAGGGTTTTAAGTCTCTTCTTTTATTCTTTGGTTTTTTGTGTTTTTATTTCTATGAATGGTATTTATGGTTTTCATCTGTTTTTTATCTTTTCATTGTTTTATTCTTGGTGGAGCTAAGGATAAGTTTCTTGAGCATATTTTTATTTATTTATTTATTTAGAGGATAAGCCCCTTGAGATGAATCATCTCGTTTTCGAGGGGGTCCTCAAGATTTCACAAGGACAGATACAGCAAAACAGATGAAAATAAGACAAAAGAAAATCATTAAAAAAAAAAAAAAAAAAAAAAAAACACAAAACAAATAGTAATAATAAAAAAATAAAAAAATAAAAGCAACCATAACAAATACACACACAATCACTCACACACACACACACACATCGTGACTGTACTGATGTTACACAAAATATGGATAATACTATTAATATTGATGGTAATAACAATAATCAGGAGACAAGACAAGGTCTCATAAACTAAGATCAAAACATTGACATGAATACCGGAGATATTGTATCAAAGCAGATTTTAACAGAGGCAGAGAAGTTAGAGAGCGAATAGACAACGGCAAACTGTTCCAGTCAGACGGAGCTTTAAATTTAAATGCATGTTTTCCAGCTTCTTTATTCACTCTTGGAACTACAAAAAAAGACTGATTTGCATGACGCAAACTGTACGAGGATTGGAAAGGAATCAGATATTGTTTTAAATATTCTGGAAAACTGAGATTAATGCATTTGAAAATAAACAATAGCCAATGTAGCTGACGTCTGGAGGACAGAGAGAGCCATGACAGCTGCTCATACATCAGGCAGTGATGGGTTCTGAACGGACAGCGAAGGATGAACCTGCATAGGCTGTTGTAGGAGACAGTCAGAGGCTGAAGAACAGAGGCAGAGGTGTTTTGATAAATTATATCGCAATAATCAAGAATGGGGAGAATCAGTTGAGAAATGATCCTCTTCCTTATTGATAAGCTAAAACAATTAATCGATTGATAAAGTAATTTTAAGCGATGAGAAATTTTGTTGTAATGTTTTGTATATGAATATTAAAGGACAGAGAAGAATCAAGCCATAGGCCGAGATATTTAAAACGATCGACAACTGGAACTGGAGACATATCTGAATACACAAGATTAATTTCATTTTTGGAAACGGGACACACTCTCTTCTGGAACAGTAAAACATTTGTTTTGGATTTGTTTAGAAACAATTTGTTTGATTGTAGCCATAATTGAACTGAATTAAAGTCATTTTGAATAGAGTGTTGGATATCAGCAATATTAGCTTTGGATGAATAGATAACTGTATCATCAGCATAAAGTTGGATCTGACAGTCTGTACATGCAAGGGGAAGGTCATTGATAAATATGGAGAACAGTAGAGGACCAAGTGATGAGCCCTGCGGCACCCCTCTCTCAATAAATGAAAACTCAGAGAAGCTGCCAATAAAAAATACACACTGCTGACGATGATGAAGATAGGAGTTAAACCAGAGGAGTGAGGGCCGATCCAGTCCAATGGAGTGAAGCTTGTCTAAAAGCAAATAATGATCGACCAAATCGAAAGCTTTTGTGAGGTCAATGAATAATGCACCTGTAAGCAAGTTATTATCAAATCCAGAAAATATATCATTCGTGAACTTTAATAATGTAGATGCTGTAGAATAATGTTTCCTGAATCCAGATTGGAATGGAGATAGAAGATTATTGGCAGATAAGTATTCTGATAGTTGACTGAACACTACTTTTTCATAAACTTTTACAATACTATTAATAATTGATATGGGTCTATAGTTATTGATATCACTAATGTCACCACCTTTGTGAAGGGGGATCACTTTGGCACATTTCCAGGCAGAGGGAACTTCACAGGTGTTAAATGATAAGTTAAAAAGATCTGCCAAAGGAAAGCACAGAACATGGGAGGCCATTTTGATAAACTTGACCTCAATGCCGTCTGGACCGGCACTGCAAAGAGATAGTTCATTCAAGATCTGTTCCACTGCAGCAGGACTAACTCGCCTGAAGGAGAAACTGCTCCTACATGTAGCATCACTGAAAGAAACAGAGGAATGAGGAGTAGACTGTGATTGAGGCAAATGAGTGAAATGTTGATTAAAAGCAGTGGCAATAGTGTTTGCATCTTTTGTGAATACATCATTGATGAGCATATTATTGAAGGCAGAGTTGGATTTACCTGATAAATTGTGAATATGTTTCCAAAATTTTTGGGGGTTTTTAAAGTTATTTGTTAAACTGTTTTTGTGATAGTTAGATCTAGCATTTCTTGTTTGTGTGGTGCAGATATTGCAGGCGTCTATATTCATCCCAGTCAGCAGTGAGCTTAGAATCCTTGAATTTTGACCAAGCCTTGTCCCGTTGTCTGTACAGACTCATCAGTTCACCATTCACCCAGGGAAGATGGTTTCCTTTTATCCTAATTTCTCTCAAAGGTGCATGTTTGTTAATAACAGTTAAAAATTCAGAATAAAAATAGTCCCAGGCTTCATGTATAGACGGTATTAGACCAAGTCTGTCCCAGTTAATATTCACAACATCATTAACAAAGTTATTCAAGTTAAACAGTTTTGACATTCGAATTTTAATGAGTTTAGGAGGAAGACGAGGGGGTTTCATTTTCCAAATACAGTAAACAATGCAGTGATCACTGAAACAGTCTGCTAATACACCAGATTCAAGGAATCTATCTGGATGAGTCACTAAAATCCAGTCTAGAAGGGATTGAGATGTGGGGGTAATACGTGTGGGATCATTTATCAACTGAGAAAAATTGGAACTATTAAATGTGTTGCGTTCTGTTGCAGAAGAGCGAGCTAACCAGTTTATGTTGAAGTCACCGAGGATGATAAGTTCTTTATTACTACCTAAAGAGGAAAGTGTAGATAGAATACTCTTTACAGAGTCAGAAGGGGAGTTTGGTGGTCTGTAAATATTGCCAATGATTAAATGTTTATTTTCATGAAGCATTAAATTAACAAATAGTCCTTCAAACTGAATAGGTTTCTCTGTTGGTAAAATCCGATGTGACTGAAAACTGGAAGAAATGTAAGTGGCAACCCCGCCTCCTCTAGAATCTCTGTCTGCTCTGTACAGGGTGTAGTTGTCCAAATAAATATCATTGTCAGAGATAGCAGAAGAGAGCCATGTTTCAGATATTGTGATAACAGAGGGCTTGTTGTACATTACCCAGGCTCTAAGAAGATTGATCTTAGGTAATAGACTCCTAATATTCAAATGAATGATTTTAATACCATTAACCATAATCAAAGAAAAAGAAAATATTAGAGAAAAAAATACATTTTAGAGAAGATGAGCTTGAGGACAGCCAGTCAATAACATACCCAGTCATATACACAAATACACACATACTCAAGCATACAATACCAGATGAAAAATGCTGATGCGTAAATGAAATAATACACACATAAAAAAACAAAAATAGACTCTGTCTGCCGTATCTGTCAGAAAAAATGTTAATGTCCATAGAAACCAAGAGAAAATCAAACAAGCCCCAGAACCCCCATTCTGAGGTCCCCAGAAAAAAGAAAAACATTTCAAAATAGGATAAATTAGCAAGGGGAAAATAATAATCAACCCATATGGTCCATGTGTATCCACAGTTTATATTAGAGTTTAAGCCTCTTTTCATTTAAATTAATTCACAGAAGCGATCAGGAAGGTGTGTGAGAATATGATGAGACAGTGCAGCGATGCAATCCAGTTCAGAGCTATTGAGTGGAGAGTGTGGTAAGCGTGTCGCATCACCAGTCTGTGACGTCATCACGTGCGGAAGTAAACAAGTCCCCATGCGAGCAACTTGTTGACATGAAGTGACTTACCAAAGAAGAGTTCAAGGAGATTCACTGCTTGGATATAAATTCAACCGCATCAGAGGGATTCTCAAAGAAATGATGTTCGCCTCCCTTCTCCAGTTTAATAGTTGAGGGATATATCAGGAAAGCATTGAAACCTGCGCTCCGTGCCTGATACATCACTGGATAACAGGGACGTCTTCGTTTGGATGTGGTGTCACTATAATCCGGGACAAAGCGAAGGGTTTTCCCAGACAGCTGCACAGGGGTTTTTCTTGCCTCGTTCAGAATACGGTCTCTGTCCGTGAAGCGGAGACACTTTGCGATGATCGCTCTGGGAGAGGAGCCCTGTTGCGGCGGACCCAGGCGGTGGGCTCGCATGAGCTCAGGAGGAGCCGCAGCTAATCCAGGTAACCACTTTGGAAGATTCGCTGAAAGGTAGGACAACATATTCCCACGTTCTTCGCCTTCTTTGATGTTCAAAATGCGGATGTTGTCACGTCTGCTTCTATCCTCAAGGGACACCAACTTAAGCTCCACTTGCAACAGAGAATTGGTTAGCTTCTCCAGGGTAGCCTCATTTTTGTGGACACGGGTGTCAATGGCCGAGACAGCGACTCGCTGTGTCTCAATGTCCATCGCATGCTGAGTCAAAGTATCTCTGATAGAGCCGAGTTGTTCTTCAAGGCGCTCGAATCTTTCCTTAGATTTGTCCTCTGCACGTTTGAAGAACTTCAAGTGCAGACTCGAGGTAGGCCTCCGTAAGCACACGGGTGGAGGTTTCAGCGTCCACCTGAGACTTGCTCATATTTGCTTTAGAGCGAGTGGATCCCGACATAAGCAGAATAGAGTACGAATATAACAGAGATATCTTGCGTATGTAATGGCTTATAAAGATAGATTAGACCAGGTTTTAATAGAAAAAGCACGGGGGGTTAGACAGGGACACTTCCTACTCCGCCATCTTGGTCCACAAAAATATATATATCATATTTTTTTTGTGCAGCACTTTGGAAACTTGACTGTTGTTTAAATGTGCTATATAATTAAAGTGGAATGGATTGAAAGCCACAGTGTATAGATACATGTAGTAACCCGTGGCGCCCCCTGGTGTGTGCAGGTGTGAGCTGCAGCCAGGTGACCGTGCCGGAGCGCATCAACGCCGTGCAGGGGAAGAACATCACTCTGAGCTGCAGGATCGAGGTGGGCTCCAACCTCAGCCTGACCCAGAGCTCATGGGAACGCCGGCTCCCCTCGGGCAGTGCCACCGTGGCCGTCTTCAACCCCGAGTACGGGACCTCTGTGACGGCGGACTACTCCCACCGCGTGTCCTTCGTGTCGCCCTCGGTCCGCGACGCCACCATCGTCCTGCAGGGGGTGGGCCTGGACGACGTGGGCTCGTACAGCTGCAAAGTGGCCACCTTCCCTCTGGGCAACACGCAGGCCTCCACCTACGTGAACGTGCTAGGTAAGAACTATTTTCATTTACGGACAATAAGCCGCTTCTTTTTTCTATTTATTTTAATCCGTGCGGCTTATACAGTGATGCAGCTTATATGTATTTTTATTTTGGTTTATTACAGACTTAATATTTTGACTCAATTAGGTTTTAGCAGCTACAGGACACTTGTTTATTGTCAAAAGAGAGTCATGGAAGCTAACGGTAAATCTTGTGTCCAGTTGAAACAGTCGTCTCTCTGCGTTACAACATGAAAACCTGCGGCTTATATTCCAGTGCGGCTTATATGTGGACAAAATGTACATCCTTTTAAAATCTTTCTGGTGCGGCTTATATATATTGTCTAGAAAGTATGGTACGTCTGTTACAATGCGAACTTAAATCATCACATAACATGCAAACTCTCGCCCCTCATAAAAAACAGACCAGGAGTTGTTTGTTTATATCAAGAATCAAGCACAAACCAATTCAAACACACATCTCCCCGTCCCTTCTATCATGGGTGCCCAAACTTTTTAGCGAGAGGGCCACATTAGTTCACCAGACTAGTCCAGGGGCCGACATCACGGAATGAAAAACTATCTTGACTGGCATCTGGCCGTTCTGAGCTAGTATATGATGAGCTGAAGTTGGTTGAATGACACATGTTTACCATCTCTCCAGCTACTGTAACACCATTTAGAGTGTGCGCAAATAAAATCAACAATGTACTGGGCTTTAGAACAAGGTCTATATTGGCTGAGCTGAAGTTGGATGGATGACACAGGGAATTTGTAAGTTGTTTGCACTATTTACCAAAGCAAATTCCTTGTTTGTGACCTCCTGTTGCTGATTCTGAACGTAGTGACTTGCAGAAACATATATATTTACTTGCGCTGATGAAGGACAGCAGCAGTTTGTTCTTTAAGCTGACACTCTTGATGGAATGGCTTTATGGATCCTGCTTAACTGGAATGAAGCCTCCAGAGCAAAAGCACTAATGGGAAATCAAAAGGGCTTGTTGTGCATTAGTGTATGCAGATGGAACTGATAAGCTAAGACAAGTGATGAAAGGTCCAGGATCGATGGGAGCCCGGCTGCTCGGAGTCTACCGTGACCTACGCCTCATTCATGTGGGCGGCACGGTGGCTGAGTGGATAGCACTCTCGCCTCTCAGCAAGAAGGTCCTGGGTTCGAATCCCGGTCGGACCAGGGCCTTTCTGAGTGGAGTTTGCATGTTCTCCCTGTGTCTGCGTAGGTTTCCTCCGGGTACTCCGGTTTCCCCTACCACTAAAAATATGTCCAATAGTTCTGGCATGCGCCTCCTGTACAGGCCCCGCTCCCATCTCTGTGTGGAGTGAGAAACAATTGCCCAAAAATTAACAATTGTAAACCGCTTTGAGACTCAGATCTGCAGTGAAATGGCGGTATATAAATAAAGATTACTACTATTACTACTACTATTCATCAACGTTAGAACAAGTTTAGACACCGCCCATGTTAGACCAGTCCAAAGGCTGGGTTAGAGCTAGCCTGGTCTTATCCATCCGTAAACTCTGGTCAATTATAATTTCCGACACGCACGTCTGGGTCTGGTCCTAGTGGCTGCCGTTTTCTCGGTTGAATCCACTCCGACCAATCAGAGAGCGGGGGTAGTCTGTTCTGGTTTGGCTCCAAATATCAATAAATTTAAGTCATAGCAAGAGAAATGTTTAGTGAATGTCATGTTGTGGCTCTACTCCACACGGGCTTTGTTAGCGGCAAAGGAGATGGCAAAAGCTAGGCTAAATGCTAACTACTAGCAACTTTACATATGTCACAGTAAACTCAGATCCAATGGTTTGAATCTGCAAAAGGAGTTAACCCCTCCCACCTGTTAACGGAGTCAATGGAGATCAAACTGAAAATCCATTTTTAGTCTAATTTTTTAGCTCTTTGTTGAGTTTCTTTGGTTTTGTTGTTGCAGAAGCATTATTTTTTACTTGAAAATGATACGTTTTTATCATATGTAAATATTTAGCTTGATGGTCAGCTGTGGAAACAACTCTATTTCTCTGTTTCTGTCAGAGCACACATGGTACTCAGCTTAATAGTTTTATGTATTTGAGGGACCCCAACCCTGTGTTTAAATTCTGGTTGGGGTTGGCACGGTGGCACAGTGCTGCACAAGATTCAAGGTTCTGGGTTCACGTCCCAGTCGGAATAGGTTCTTTCTGAGTGGAGTTTGCATATTCCCCCTGTGTCTATGTGGGTTTCCTCCAGGTGCTCTGGTTTCCCCTACCCCTAAAAACATGCACAATACGTAAAACAATCCAGCTCCAGTGCTGACCAACCCGAAACTCAACATTTGGGATGGGTCTCTGGGCGCTGTACCCACCCCCCCCCCCCCAGGTTGGATGGGTCAAATGCTAAGGACGTTGATCTTATGGAACAAGACTTAATCATCCAAACACTGTCGGTTTGATGTCACGGGGCGCAAACAGTGCAACTTTGTATGTTTTTATAATTATCTATGCCTTTAGTCCCATCTGGATCCAAGCCTTTGACTCCGGACTTTGTGGTCAGCGTTTGTCTGAAGCTTTGTGTAGGTGGATTTCAGAGAGCAGGAGATTACGCCGTGATTACCCCAGAGACCGAACGGACTCTTGACTAATGAGAACTACACTCCGGGACATGCAACGCTGCAGCCGAGGTCGGACCATGTGGGACCTCTGCGTCTATCAAGCAACACGATCGAGAAATATTGGACATTTACAGCTGTTCTCAACGTAACTCTAATATCAACTAAACACGGAAGGCAGCTGTGGATGTTTTTTACCCCATATTCACACAACTAACTAACATTAATGATTAGTGACGATTCAAGTCATGCATAATCTTCAATATGTGACCAAAACAATGAAATCTCTGTCTGGGTCTGTGCACTTTCAAGCACGACTGTGGCTTGCTTTCTTTTAAGATATTTTTACGATTGTTTGTGGTAATATTAGAGCCTCTGAGTGACATTTGTAATCAGATCTGAGAGTGTGAAAAAACACAACATAGTCAGAAGCTGTTTTTATTGTCATGACCTTGCAGAGCGCACTGTCGCAGCCCCTCAGCCCTTCTCTCTCTCTTGCTTCAGTTCCACGTCTCCCCCGCTTCTCCTACACCCAGCCCACCCCTGCTTCTCCTACACCCAGCCCACCCCTGCTTCTCCTACACCCAGCCCACCCCTGCTTCTCCTACACCCAGTCCACGCCAGTTTCTCCTACACCCAGCCCACCCCTGCTTCTCCGACACCCAGCCCACCCCTACTTCTCTTACACCCAGCCCACCCCTACTTCTCTTACACCCAGCCCACCCCTACTTCTCTTACACCCAGCACACGCCAGTTTCTCCTACACCCAGCCCACCCCTGCTTCTCCTACACCCAGCCCACGCCAGTTTCTCCTACACCCAGCCCACCCCTACTTCTCCTGGTGTCCTTACTCTCAGGATCTGAAATTAACCACGGCCCTGCATTGACAGAGTTTGTCCAATGGTGCGACAGCAACTACTTGGATCTAAACGTCTCAAAAACCAAGGACATGATTATTGACTTTAGACGCTCCACAGCGCCCTCTCTGGGCAGCAGTGTCATCCATGGTGAAGGGGTGGAAGTGGTGGAGAAGTACAAATATCTTGGTTCTTGGATGGACAACAAGTTGCGGTTTGACGCAAATACAGACTCCGTTTTTAAACGCGGTCAGCAGAGAATCTATCTTCTAAGGAAGCTGAACTCTTTTAATGTAAATAAAAGGATTCTCTGCAACGTTTACTGCTGTTTTATAGAGAGCCTATTAACATTTTCATTTGTTTGCTGGTTCAAGGGTTTGTCTGTGAAAGATAAAAACAAACTGCAAACATTATCAAAATCTGCTCTAAAATTATTGGTGTTAAACAAAGAGACCTACAGTCTCTTTGGGAGGAGCAGGCGCTAAAGAAAGCTAAATGGTATCTTGGGTCAGCCTCTCCATGCTCTGTCCTCTGAGTTTTCGCTCATGCCTTCTGGACGTCGTTTTTATGTACCCTTTCGGAAAACAAATCGTTTCGCCAACTCTTTTGTCCCCTCTGTCACTAAACTGTTGAATTCTGAAGGGAGTGTGTTTATTAAGTGACACCGACCTTTGTGAAATGTGTCGTTTTCTTTTAATTATTTGCTATTGTCTGTACTGTTGGAAGTGACACACAGTGAGTGTTGTGATGTGTTTGTACAACATCTGTCGGAGGTTGCAGCAAATCAATTGCCCTTAAGGGATCAATAAAGTTTTCTGAATCTGAATCCCACCCCTACTTCTCCGACACCCAGCCCACCCCTACTTCTCTTACACCCAGCACACGCCAGCTTCTCCTACACCCATTCCACCCCTACTTCTCCTACACCCAGCCCACCCCTGCTTCTCCTACACCCAGCCCACCCCTGCTTCTCCTACACCCAGCCCACCCCTACTTCTCTTACACCCAACCCACCCCTGCTTCTCCTACACCCAACCCACCCCTGCTTCTCCTACACCCAACCCACCCCTGCTTCTCCTACACCCAGCCCACCCCTACTTCTCTTACACCCAGCACACGCCAGCCATCCGATACCCCCGCGTGGGAACGGGGTTATTCCAGGAGCTGTTTTACTGCCATGGACCATCCCAGTTCCAGACCTCTGCCCACGCCTCCAGCTCCTACACGATTCCATACGCTCTCTTCTTCCCATCATGTTTATGTCTGCCCCGGAGCCTCGACAAACTGCATATTTCACAGGACGCAGAAACAAAAGCAGCCGACAAAACTCAAACAATCAGACTGATGCAGGAGAGGCCATTCCTGTGTTTACTCTGGGGCCTACCGAACACTCCATGTTCTCCCTTTGAAATGATCCAAACACACGCTATGTACAGGCGTAAACAGGAGTAGGATCTGCAGGGGGCGCTATAAAGAAGTTTTCGACATTTTAGACTCACTTCCTCTTTGCTAACTTTGCTAACGTTGAGATTTTGTTTTATGTTAGATAGAGTTATTATTCATTTATCTTGTGTTGTGTGCTCCTCATTCCTACTGTTGCGTAACTTGTGATGCAACACTGACATTTCCCCGCTGTGGGACACGTAAAGGAGCTATGCATCAATC